CCCTTTCTTTCTTGTAACACCCCCTTTTTAAAACCAAACATTCCCCCTTTTCTTTCCCTGGGAGAGCCAGTGGGGAAACTGCATCAGGTCTTAAAAGAGGAGGGGGAAAATCAGTCACCTTAGAAAGCTGGGTGACAATAACCTTGCAAAACGTGAAGACAAAGGTGGGTTTTGGGACGCGCGACCACTTCAAACATGTGACCTCTGTGTCCCTTTTTGCCTCCTTTCCCTTCTCAGCTCCTCTGGCAGAGGCAACAAAAACATTTGTCAGCCCTAGATCTCGCTTTGCCTCTGGTTGATCCTGAAAAGAAAGGTACATTCAAGGGGACCTTCCCCACCCGGCAGCAGAGATGTGAAAAGGGAGTATGTTTAGAACCCTGTGGTTATTCTTAAAATGCAAAAACAAGCAAGGATTCACCCTTGGCCTCAGGTTGCCAGACTGTGGTTGCCCTTCCCCCTCCCTGCTCTTCTTACAAACAAGCAGGTGGTGGCCATGTCAGCCCTGCAGCCAGCATGCTGCCAGGCTGGCCCTTCCCATCCGATCACCTATACCGGCCGGCACAGAGCCAGCGGCCTGTCCTTGCCCCAGCGTGGCCTTGGGCATCGTGCCCTCCTTCTTGCCCTGGAGCTGAAAAAGCAGTCACCTTGAAACTCCCCACTTCCAGCGCCGAGGAATTCCGAGGCCAATGCTTAAACCTTAACAGTAAATGACATTAACTACTATGAGGCCATTAGTTTGGCCTCTGAAACCAGGGTTTTGCAAAACCCGTTGTTAATGCTCAGGGCTCTGTTGGGGGTGGACAAAAATCTAATTTGTGAGTATCCTGTGCACTGGAGAGGGGACCATTTGACTTGGGTTTCTCCTCTGCAGGACCCGACTGTCTTTCCTTGGTGTTAACTGCTTTGGAGGGCTGGTTTTTTGGGGGGATCTTCTCAGCCTTCAGAAGCAGCCTTTATACCTTGGCCTCAGACTGGCAGCCCCTAGCTTAGCTTTTCAGATGCCTGCTGTTCTTGAAGCACTTTCATTTTACCTTGCTTGGTGCTGTGGACCTGAAGCTGGTTTCTCATGGATGGAGAAGGGGAAATGGGTTTCCTCCCTCCCACCTCCTCCTGCCTGCTCCCTTGGAACATTTTTGTGTGTGCACACAGACACCTGTCTGTCTGCAGTTCATGCTGCAGGGCTGCGTAATTCCTAACCTTCCACCCACCTAAATCGAGGGCAAGGGGGCCCCACCACAGAGCTCCTGTTGAAGGCTCAGAATCTAAAAGGGAAGGCTTTTCCTTAGGAACCTGTGACTTCACAAACTCTCTCTGTCACTGCAGATTTTTTTTTTAAAGGCTTCTAACATTGGATTGTTGGTGTCCTTTGGTTGAGCTTTTCCTAGTTCTGATATTTAGGAAGGTGGCTTTGAAACTAGCAGGGCTGCTTAAACACAAGCTCAGCTATTGAACAAACTGCTACCATTTTAGCTTCAGTACAGGAGTGAGGCAGTGTTGCCAGACGCCATTTTAAGAATCCTGCATAAATAGCTTAGCTACCGATGACTCTGCCTGTTTTAGGTGAGTGCTTATTATATAAAGCTGCTCTGCTAATCATTTTCTCTCCCCCCATTTAAAAAAATAATTGCAGATTTAGGGAAGCATGGTTTTTATTTTAATGTTAACTCTTTTATAATCTAGAAGAGGAAGATATTATGCCTTGGGGATTAAATATATCTTACAGCCTAGACCATTTTAGTATTTTTTGAATGAAAGTAAAAAAAAAACAACCAGGAAAAGTCCTTTCAAATGATGCATGATTCTTGAAATGCTGTGTGATGATCCTCATCTGAGAACCAGTCTTGTGCATGCTGGTTATGTATTCTAGATGGGTTAGAGACTCTTGGTTAAAAGTCAAATAGTAAGGGCACTTGGGGAAAGGAAATATCTGGGCATTGTGTATCCAGGCATTTTTTGGTCAAAACTAGTCAGTCAGCCCCCCCCACCTCTCTCCCTCTCTCCCTCTCTCCCTCTCTCCCTCTCTCCCCTCTGTCTTTTGGAAGTGTGAGGGGATGAGATTCCTGGGAATTACGGACCAGCCCTGAGTCCTCAGAATTAATAATCAGAAGGCTTAAAGCATGCTGGAGGTGCAGCAATTGATCTGCAACTTTTAATTGCTCCTTTTTCAGTGCATGCAGGTGAAGAAGTACGCAAGCTGTCTTGGCCAGGCATTGGGGGAGAAATCTTTTATTCTTTTTGGGAAGGGAGGGAATGGTCTTGGTTGTGTTTGCAGGTGCTGTTGGCTCTTCCTTGAATTGTCTGAAATGTATCAGTTTGTAAAATCCACAGGCAAGTGACTTGGGCAGGGGCAGAAGGTGGTGGTGGTGGTGGTGGTGGTGGTGGTGGTGGTGGTGGTGGTGGGTTGGATACAATTATATATATACAACTAGTTGATGCTGAATTTTCATTTTGGGATGAAAAGCTGTTTGGTTTTCAGTAATTTTACCTTTAGTGGGCCCCCTGTCTCCAGTAGACACAGAAGAAAAAAAGGAAAAAGAGAAGTAATGTCAGTTTGAAAACAGGACTTCTTGTTCTTTTGTTTTTGGTTCAGATGATTAGGGTTTCTGGAAGCTAGCAGACGTGGAAGGAAAGAAGCTGTGTATTTTCTAAGACTTTAATGTGTTAATGGCAGAAGTTCAAAGTATTTTCTCCAGATGCGACTGCTTTTTCTTTTTAAAAATTACTTGATTATTTCCCCCCCAAATCACTGAACAGCTGTTAACCTAAATTAACCAAGATCTGTGGGGCATTCAGACAGGTACAAATCTTTTCTCCTTATCAATTTTGACAATAACATTCATAGGTTTTTTTCCCCCTCCCCCCTAATAATATGCTAGTACTTAAAACTAAACCAGGAGAAAAAAAAAAAACATCAACCGAGATCAGTGGTGTTAAAAAAAAAAAAAAAGGAAGTCCTTTAGATGTGGCTATTCGAAATGACTAATTTTGCATTCTGGTCTTTGCTTTTGTAAATGAAGTTTTATTTTCTTTCAGTGCATATACCCTGCAATTTCCTTTCGTCAAATTCAAGTTGTGTGTGGCTTTGCTCACACAGACACGGTTCCTTTTGAAAGGAGGGTTTGCTGATCTCTGAAAAAGATGGTTTTCTTAAATTGTTGTGCTTAAAATCCTGGGCTCAAGCCGGTGGTGCTATTGCTAAAGTAAGGTGATTATGGTGCCCACTTGTAATACTTGGAAAGATAAAACAGCTTAACTTTTCTCCCCTTTCTCTTCTGCTTGAGAATTGATTATCTGAAACTCAGCAGCAAACAGCTACCCCATAACTAGTTTGCATTTCTTAGTCTCTCAGCAGCATTCCTGCCTTAAGTATGCAGCTCCTCTAGGCTGTTACAAGCCAAATAATTGTTCTCTTGAATTCATTCCTCCTCCTGTGATCAATACACCTTTGAATGTTTTCATCCCAGCAGAAATCCTTCAAGTAGGTTTTTTGGCTCTGTTATATGTAATTGTTTCTTTCACCACTGTACATTTTGGTTGGAGCACAGATTAGCATTTTTCTCCATCACTCAAAATATGGGATTGGTTTCAAGAAGTTTAAGATTTCACATACTTCATGCTAGAGAGGGTAACAGAATTCTGGTTGCTAGAAAGATCAAGGTTGCTATTTGTTCTTTTGAAGTTAACCATCTACCCATCGGTCTGAGAACTGTGTGGGGCTTTTTGTTAAAATTTATTTCCAGCCGCCCTGAGCACGAACCACCCCGTCAACAGCCTCTCGTTGGGCAACCTTTGTGTCTTCCAGGGAGAGTGTATTTCTAAGCTGAGAATGCTTTTCTCTGAAGTTGGAGTAGAAAGTATTAAGTGGTAAAATCACCTTCAGTAAATCATTGTTGTATTATTTCATGTTATGTGTTTAAATTTAGCAGGCTGCTCTCTCCGGATGGAAACCATTTGTGACAACATGTCAGTTTTTTCTTTGGTGATTTGTGCCCCTGGTTTCTCTACAGATGCTGTGTAAATGAAATCATTAAGCGAGGTTCAATATCAGAATGCTAAATGTGTTAATATTCTGATTTAAGCCTACACTATCTTTTCTCCTCTCTGCTGGGGCTAGTTAAGTCAGAGGCCTCCACACTCCTATAATTTAATTCTGAGCTATAATCTTTTCCTTTCTATCTAGCTCCCATCCTGAATTCTCTCCTCCCAACAAACCTGGAGCTCTTCTAAACACGTCTCCATCTTACCCTGGGGTTCCAGGCCCGAGGCTGCCTTTCTGGACTCATCTTTTGCCTTGTCACTGTCCCAGACCGCGGAACACAGACAGGACATTGTTCTCCAGCCTTCTTCCTGTCCTGGCTTTGAGTCTTCCAAATGGAAAATTCCAGCCCTGTCAATTGGTGATGAACCCATTTCTTCTTGTTGAACCATGGTCTGATGGAGTTGCATCTAGTGATTACTCAGATTCCTACCACGGCAGTGTCAGCCTGAATGCTTGGAAAGTTCTAGCACCTCAAAACATTTGCTCCTATAAAAGCTGAACTTCACTTCTTCCTTTGGTTTGGTGTGCAAGGTGTCCCTGAGGGGAAGATCTGAAATGGCCTGCTTTCTGTTCAATCTCAGTTCAGCGGGGTGGGTGGGGGAGAGAGAGAGATTGAGAGAGACTGTTCTGGAATATAGACCTTCTCAGCACTAAGGGGGCTGCTTTTCTCCCTTCTCTCCCTGACCCTCCACTCTCAGCCTATCTTTTAAGTAGTCCTTTCTCATTCCACTTTTGTGGTGGAGGATAATTAGTCCAAGCTCAAAAGACAGCCATGCCTGAATACAGGGAGGGGGTGGGGGTGGGGGCGGGGAAGTGCAGGGTCCTCATCGTAACTCCTGGGTTTGCATTGTTTTGAGACCAGCACTTTGGCTTCTGCCTGGGCACATTTTTCTACAGTATTTTGTAATTTAACCTGTATCTTTATTTTTCATGTTCCTGCCTCCTCAAGGAATTGTAAAATTGAGGGGGGCGGTCCGGGACAGATACTTTCCCTTACTGAATTTAGAGATCAGAACTCTAGGTACTCTGGGAAACACCTCCAATCTCCCTGCTTCAGTTGCGTCTGGTGTTAGCAATGAGAAACTTGTTTATTTGAGAGGCTGGGTTCTCCTGGGCCCAAGGGGGTGGACTGTAATTGTGTATCTACAAAGACAGGCTGTTTTGCATCCCCCCCATAGCATGGCAAGTGGGATAGTAGTTTGACTTACACAGTATTAAGAAGCACCTCGTGCCTTGAAGAGGTCCTTTAGGAATTTTAACACTGTTGAAATCAGGTGTGTTCTTTCCCCACCCTGCACCAGGCTGGGGCATTGTCTTAAAGGTGGGTTGCAGCCAGACATCTCAACAGCTGCCCTCCTGGGGTGGGTTCTTAGCCTACCTAAACATGAACGTAATTTGCTCTGTTTCAGCTTGGCTGAAGAGGAAATAAAAACAGAACAGGAGGTGGTAGAGGGCATGGATATCTCCACTCGCTCCAAAGGTGAGTAAAAATCTTGCATTATCTATTCTTGTGCTGAGGAGGAAATGGGAATTTCTTTTTGTTGTTGGAGAGCAGTGAAGTGTGGCTGTCTGAGCCTGCCTCTCCACACTCCTCGGGTTGCCAGACGTAAGACCCCCTTGATGGATGGGCCTAATTTCTAGCGAAGTCTTTTGATTTTCTTTGCCTCGAGTGGCTGTGTAGGAATTGTCCCGGCAGTAAATTTTAGGTGTGTGTCCGGATTGAGGATGCCTGGCTACCTCTCCCCAGGGTGGTTCTTTCAGGAATCAGAATTTAAAGCATGTTCTGGAAGCCACTGGCGTCCACAGCTGCTGCTGGCTTCCTGATTTCAACACCAGGCCTCAGCGTGGGATGAGGTTGGCCCACTTCATTGGAAAACGGTGGTCTTGGTTTATTAGAGATAAAAAGCAAGTGCAGGGCTATCTGGAATGCTGGATTATGTTTGCATGGAGGGCAAAACACAGCAAATTAGAGCAAACACAGCCTATGCGGTGCTCATGGGCTGCCAGATCCTCTCAGTCTTCTGGCTGAGGGGTTGGTGCTGTTTCTTTGGTCTGTGAGAGACTTCTGAGGCTTCCCAAAAGGGAGCAGAACTTACTCACTTTTGCCTTCAAGGTGCTTTTAAAAGTGAGCCAGTGGAGCATTTTTCACATCTTTTGGTTGTTGATGAAAATGTTCATCTCCAGGCTGAGTGGCTGGCTGTACCATGGGGGTTTCAGTCCTCCCTCCTCATGTTGCTGAGATCCCTCTGCAAGGAGCCTGTACTCAGGGGTCTGGAGAGGCAGGAGTGTGGCCGAGAAGGCCAAAGGGGCCTCTCATTGGCCATGTCCTAAGAAGTGACTCCCTAAAGCTTCTGAAACGGAAAACGTCCGCAAGGGTTTTTATAAGACAGGAGGGTGTCATTTTGGGCCAAGCTGAGGGACAGATGGTCAGGGGAGAGGCCGGGCTGCATCGGGGTGGTCAGGGCCGGGAGGCTCGAGAGTCCCTTTCTCCTCGCTGCCATGGGCACTGTGAACAAGGAAGAACCATCCTGAAGGGGTGTTTGGAGACAGCGTGCCCCTGGGAGCCAGTGCCATTTGGCTACTCCACTCCTGTTCTTGCCTGAATCCAGTGTGAGCTGGAGAGGTGAGGCGGGCAGGACGGAGGGTGATCCCGTGCTTCCCCGCCACTTCCTTTCTTCTGCTGTAGTTGGGGTAGACTCCTAGGCTCCTACCCTGGGCTTACAAAAATGATACCTGTGCGCGGTGAAGGCGAGTGCTCACACTGGGAGCTTTCCTAGTTCCACGCCTCCACTCCTCTCCTGAGCGGGGAGGTGTCCTTCCCGCTGTGCAGACGGGGACACTGAGGCTCCTCGTGGTAACATCTCGCGGGTGGTAAGTAGCACAGCAGGTCTGAACTGAGAGTGTCCCCAAGGAGGTGGGTGGACCTGCAGTGCCCCGTGGCCCTGAGTGGAGACTTCCAGGGTGCGGACAGTCACCAGGGTAGGATGCTGGCCTGTTCAGTCCCTCTGTGTGTGCGGAGACGCCTCTTCTGAAAGGGCTGTGTACCTGGGTGGCCTCACCACGTCACCCAGTGGATCTCTCCCTGCTGCCTGAAATGTGACGGATACGAGTGACCTTTGTTCCTTCTGTCATGTGCCTGGTTCCCCGTCTCTCCCTTTAGCAGCCAGGATGTTCTTAAAAAGCGTGTTGTTTTGCTGACTCCCTCCACCTCCACTGAGATTCTGGCACCTTGAGGCTCAGGTCTGAAGGCCTGGTGACTTGCCTGCTCGTCCACCCCATTCCCTGCCCTTCTTTCCTTGGGGCCTGGGTGTCCTTTGCCCAAAAGCATTATTTTGGCTTCTGCTGCTGTTTCTCCTATCTCCGGTTCATCCCAGATGTCATTCAGTCTTTCCACGGCCACCTAGACTTAAAGGAGTTGTTCTACATTTTTCTTATATATTTTTCAAATAAATCCATCAAGTGTATATAATATTAGATTTCCATAAAAGTTGTAAGGTTGGCGCTGAGTTCCCATATCTCTTCCCCCATTATTAGCATCGAAGGTTGTTTATTATGTGTCTAAACCGCATACTTTTTTCAGATTTCCTGCAGAGCGTGTGTACAATCCCAGCACTCGGGATGTTGAGGCAGGAGGATCAAGGAGGCTGGCCTTAAACTCACGGTGAAGCTCAGGCCGGCCTGAAGCTGGCCTCAGTCCTCCTGCCTCAGTCTCCTGAGCACTGGGGTTATTACTGAGAGAGTAGTGCTGTTTTCGTTGCATCACGTCGGGGTCCATTCTTGTCCGTAGGCCTTCTTCGTGTTGCTGTTGAACTTGACTCCTGGCCATGCCGAGGTTCTTTCCCCTTCCGTGTTGTGCTCTTGGGAGGGAAGTTACCAAGCTTGAGCTGTGGGAGGCGTTGATGTTCCACTTCCTTAAGGAGGTGGAGTATCTGCGTGAGTGACTTGGAACCCTTCTGGGTCACAGTCAGGGATCTGCCTTTCTCTGTTTATTCTTTTATATCACTATGGGCACAAGGATAATTACACTTTCCGTTACAGTGCAACGCTACTCGTTGACTTTATTGCAGATTATTCTTGCTTTGGCAAGTCAAAGATTCTGGTCTGTTGGCTGTGCTGTGATGACAGCTCCCACTGACATGGGAGTCCCTTCCTTCCTTCCTTCCTTCCTTCCTTCCTTCCTTCCTTCCTTCCTTCCTTCCTTCCTTCCTTCCTTCCTTCCTTTCTTTTTGGTACCGGGTATCGAACTTGGTGTTTGCAAGGCCGCCAGCAGAACTTACTTTCTGATAATACAAGGTGTTCTAGGCTCGTCTGGAACGTGTTTTTTTTTGTTGTTGTTGCTGTTGTTGTTTTTTGAGACAGGGTCTCACTATGTAGTTGAGCCTGACCTGGAACTCACTTTGTAGCCCAGGCTGGTCTCAAACTCAGTGATCCTCCTGCCTCAGCCTCCTGAGTGCTGGGGTTACAGGTGTGTGCCACCACGCCCGGCTGGAATGTGTTTTTTGCCGAGCCCTAGAGTCAGCCATTTCTCCAAGCACCCTTGGATCTTTTATTGGAGATTGGTTGGTATCAGGGACCGAGATCTGGGCGCGGGTGTTTTCGTTGTTGCTGGAACATCTGGGTTCTCTGAACTGACAGCAAGGAAACATACGTGTGTCTTCGCAGTGCACACGCACATATTTTAAGTACGTCACCTTGTGCCTGTCTGTGACTGCTTCAGCTAGAGAGGGGTTCATAACCCTTGTCTGCAGACCTCCTTCCCTGCATGGATCAGTTCTAGCCTCCTCCCCTCCTCACTCACAGGAACCCCTACTCCAGCAATGAGAAAGCTTCTTCCATTTGTGTACTGCGCTCTGGTACATTTTAAATCTGCTCTACGGTGTACTCATTGGTGCGTGCCAACTCAAGTGTACACTTGTGGGTCGAAGACCCAAGTTCAGAAAACTAGTCATTTCCTGCATCCAGAAGGCTCCTGGTTGGTTCGCTTCAGTTCTGTCCTTGTACTTTGTGATTCGTTTGCCGCTCTCCTGGACTGCATGTGCCTTCTCTAGAGGGACCTGTACCTCTGCTCTTATTTCGGCCTTCCATTTGAGAAGCAGGACAGTGTAGGGGCTTTATTTAATTTTTTTATTTATTCAGGGCCTTCACATTGAGCCACATGCCCGGCCCATTTTTATCTTTGGAGTTAGGGTCTCACTAAGTCACTAACTTGCCCAGGTTGGACTTGAATATATGACCCTCCGGCCTGAGCCTCCCAGAGCTCTGTGATTACAGGCGCTATCATGCCTGGCTGTACAGAGGTTTTAAAAACTGCTTCCCAGATGAGTGGTAGTGCAATGCCTTTAATAGCAGCTGCTGTTTGGGAGGCTGAGACAGGATTGAAAGTTCAAGGCCAGCCTGGGATACGCAGTTAGACCCTGATGCTGAATAAAATATGAACAGGGTAGAGTGCTCATCTAGTATGTCAAGGCTGTGGGTTCCAATACTGGGGTGCAAAAAACAAAGGTATAGGGCTATACCTAAGGTGAAATTTGCTCAGGATAGTGCGAAGGATGTGGTGAGTGCTGGAAAATGTTAGCCATAATTAGGATCAACTTGGAGGACTGGGAGCTTGTGCTGGTAGATCTGATGGGGGGAAGCCCCCTCACTGTGCCTTACTGACACTTTCTCCTGCATGCAGCCTGTAGGAAGGAAGGTATGTGGGGTAGATGCAGACGGACCTTGCCAGGCAAGGGGCACAGTGCAGGATTCTGTAGGGTTGCGGGCAGGCAGGCTGGGACTGGACCAAAGTGCCTCTTTGAATCTAGGATTCCCACACCTTGCCCCACACTGCTGGCTCTCTGCCTTGTTTGGCCTCTGCAGCATTTGGAGAGAGCTGTTTTGTGACTGTTGCAATTGCTTTCTCAGGTGCCCTGGAGCCCTTGCTTGGGTGGGAAGTCAGTGAGGGTAGGGCCCTTGGTTTCCAGGGAGACCTTCCTCTTTGCCCAAGGATGCCCTTGGGTAGCTGTCTTTGTGTGGAACAGAGCTCTGTCGACCGTGAATGTCTGTAGTGGCTGCTTCTGGAGCTGAGGTCTGCATGGTCAAAATGCGCCACTTGCAAATTGCCTCATTTGATTTTCATAATTACGCTACGATGGCAAAGTGTTCTTGTTCCCATTTTATGGTTAAGGAAACTGAGGCTCATGCGGATCAGTGAAGTGGCAAAGTAGGGCCCTGGTTTTTTATTTTAACCCTTTGTGCTTAATCACAAGCTATATCCCAAGGGTTCCAAGTCACATGCCTGCAGGGCCCAGGAGATGCATCACTGATTGTCCTGGTATCTGAGATGCTTGAGGCTTCTGGGAATGGGAGTGTTTCGGAAGGGAGAGAGGAGGCCTCCATCTCCTTGCTGTGTGTTTCACCTGGTGTTGCCAGCTGGGATTTCCCCCCACTGTAACAGTGCCTGATTTTGAAGCGTGCTTTCTCAAAAGACCTTTTGCAAGC